GTTTATCTCTGTTGATATAAACCATTTCTAAGAAATTACGTTTATGTTTGTTTTGTTCTGTATGTAATATTTTTGGATTTTTGAAATCGAAATTGTGTTGGTGTTCAAAATGGTGGGTAGCGAGTGCTGTAGGATTTTGCTTGGGTTTTTTGGCAATCATAATATGTTGCTTTACTCTCTTATCCAGATATTGGGATGAAGACCGATATAAGTTTCCGGACATTTTAAACAGTTGATCTTGTAGATTACATCAGATTTATTTGTTATTGGTGTGGGATCTTTAATTTTGGAAAAAGTGTTTGGATTGTTTTATAATTTTTGAAAGCTATTTTGAAGTTATCGGACGAGAGAAATGTGTTTAATTTATGGGATAGGCCTTGAATAAAATTAGTAATAGTGGATGGTGTTAGTGTTGAGTTGTAATTGTTGATTATTCTGTTAATTATGTGTTTAGAGTAGAGATTGTTATGGAGGATCTGTTTGTATATGTTTATGTTCTTGTGGTGAAATGATTCATGGCTCAGGGTAATCATTCTGTGAAGTAACCCTTTGGCCGTGTTTATTATTGTATGAAGGGAATGGTGAGATGTAAAGTTGAGGTAGCGATCTGTGTTTCTTGGTTTTTGATACCAATCTGTGATTAATGTGCCATCTGGTTGTTTTATTACGAGTGTATCTAAAAATGGTACTTTTTTTGTTGTTTTCGATTTCATGTTTAAATTGTAGGCGTGGGTGAAAGCTATTAAATATATCTAATGTAGTTTGAATTTGATCTGTGGGAACTGCGGTCAATATATCATATACGTATTTAGTGGGACGGGTAATGTGAAAGGACGTTGTGGTATGACTGTTTTTAATAGCATAATCTATACCCAAGACCATCTAGATGATTGTCATACTAGTCTGGGTAACTTTCGACTCAACATTAAAAAAACTCACCCAAAGAGCACTAAACATGGAAGAAAGATGTTCAAAACGGTTACTTATAGCCAACCCTTCAAAAACTGCTCTAATTCCTTTCACTAAGAAAAAGAAAAATAGAAATACAAGGACTATGATTCTCAAACGAAATACTGCAGCTAAAAAAAGAGGTTAAATACCTAAGAATAATCGGTAATAAAAAGTTAACCTGGAACTCTCACCTGCTGCAAATCATAACAAAAGATAAAATATCGTTAATGACCATAAGAAGTTCCTTTGGCAAATTGTGGGTACTAAAACCGAAAATAGCCCACTGGCTCTACACGGCATTAGTAAAACCCAAAATAACCTATAGATCATTATCTGATGGACCAAATCTCAACAAAAACGAGCTACCCAAACTGAAGGTCAAAAATACGAGAGAAGGATAGAAAGAGAAAGAGTGAGAGTGAGTGATTGAGAGAAGGAGAAAGAGAGAAAAAGAGATAGAGAAGAAGAGAAGGAGAAAGAATAAAAAAATGATTTGATTTTTTTCAAGAGTAAAGTTTTATAAAAAGTAGCCCAGTCGTTTTATTCAGCAAAAATCAAAAGTTCCCAATTGACGTATTTTTATTATCGGGTGTTTTGCATTAGCCCATTTCTTTCCGTTTCATTTTACGGCCCATAAAACGCGACCCCCTTTGAGAATCCATGAAACGGAATCGCCTGTAGAACACGAAGAAGATGGTGTAAAAAAAGTCCCCCCCTGACTTTATTAATTATTTGATACCCAGACTGAGAATTTTTTCTCTTAAGTTTCCTCGGTGGTTCTTTTCTCAAAATCAGAATAATGTTTTTCTACTTGCAAACTTAGACTCGATTTGTTGAAACCGATTGTTAAAAAGAAAAGTTTCTCTTTTTTTCTCCCCTAATCCAGTTGGAGTTCTTATTCTCAGTAAACGTTCAAATAAAACAAAAATAACTACATCTGGAAATTTGGAATAATATTCTTGTTTTTCTTAAGATTATTACAAATTTTATTGACAGTTACGTATCATTTATGCTATTATTTCCCTTCTATATTCCGTCCCTCATTCCCTGCACATCAGAGGAAAAAACATTATTTATTACAATTAATTAAGGTTTTCAGTTTAGATAAAAAAGTCAATGGCGCGGGATTCGAACCCACGATCTTCGCCTTTTACGCCGCTGCTCTATCACTTCAGCCATTGTGATCTCGATCCATTCGGACACCTACTTCCCATCTCAACCACACATTTCGAATTTTCCCTCATTTTAATTGTTTATTACAATAAGCATAATCACTACATATTTTCATTATTAGTTAAGATTGAAAAAGTTTCTTTTACAATAAGGATAATCCCTATTTGCCTAATACTTTTAGATTCCAAGTATGAAATGTACGAAAAATGGATGAAATGGATGAATAAAAATATATTAATCTAAAAGAATCAACCGGCGCGCGAGAAAATTCGTATCTATTGTCCAATACATAAGTATTTTATGGTTAAACCAGATTAAAATATATTTATAGTAATAAATTAATTTAATTTTCGAATTTTGCATCCCTAAAAACTACTGAATAGAAATTTTTACAAAAGAAAATGAAAAAGTATTTTTTCTCTCAGATTTTTGTTTTCCATATGTCAAGATAGTAAATAATTATTTTGTAAAACAAATTTCAAAAAACAGTTCATTTTTTTGTTCACCCCTACAAACCTCTAAAATAAACTTCCGGAAAATTTTAAAAATAATTTTATTATCTTAAATTTTTCGTCTTCCCATCGTAGGATTTTAAACACAAAAATTGTGATAACTTTAAAACGAATCTACCGATCGAAGAGAAACTTGACAAGTATTTAGAACCACATAACCTACACATAAGGTCATACATTTGTCATTCGTAAAAATTATTATTTAAGATATCAATTAAAACTTTTGAGTAGTGTTTGTCCTTTTTATCCTTATTTTTCTCACTTATATTGCCATCAAATCCAATGATTTTTGACATAGATTGAAAGAGAAAAATGCAGCTTTCCAACATTTGCAATTTGCAACTGAATAAAAACCAGAGTAGATATAAATTTTTGAATGGAAGAACAGTGTATATCGGAAAAAAATTTCCCCTGCTGATCCGACCCAAAAATGTATTTATTTGTTTGTTATGAAAATTCATAGTTAAGAAGTATAAAGAATTCTTTTAAAAAATCCAAATAAATTTTTTTTAATAATATTATTTTTGTTCTACTTTACTGGAAGCTTTTTGAACCATGAACGTCTTTTCGTTTTTGTAACTTTTTATAAAATTATTTCTTACCCTAAACTAACATATTTAAACCGATTAAATATATTCATAGGATAACAAAATAGTATGCAAATCGTATTAAATGAGATAAAGATATATAAAAAAGATAAGAAAGCCTATTTCCAGTAAAGTAGGCTCAAAAAAATATAATTTTTAAAAATCAATTCTAAAACAGTTTTAAACACCCTTTATAAGTCCAAAAATACGAATTTTATAGCGAACAAAAAAAAATATTTTAGTGCTAGGAAAATAAGCAGGGGGCAATTTTTTTTCTCCGATGTCTGATGCTGTGGCATTTAAAAATTCATAAACCTCTGGATTGTATTGAAATTTGACGGTATTTCAGCCTTTGGAAAGTTGTATTTTTCTTCTTTTATCCTATTCAAACAAGATTTAGATTTTATGTCATGCAAGTAACAAAAAAGAGCATAAATCCGTAAAACAATTCCTCCAACGTTTTATTTTATACCTCTCGTTTTGATTTATTTACGGATGTCAAGTTTGTGCCATTACATGGTCGTTATAGCGTCCCAAAGCCTTGCAAAGTTTACTATGGATCGGTGAAGTTTCAAAGCTATCTCTATTTATTTATTTTTATTTCTCAAATAAATTGTATTCAGGAGTATTTCGGAGTGAAAAAAAGATTATAAAATTAAGTCACTGATATAAAAAATATTTAAACTCTTGGTCGCAAAATTAATTATGTAATGTTTTTCAGTAGGTACTAATTAGTTCCCCTGCAAATTATTTTTTTTTAGGTAAAAATCTTTTTTATAATTAGAAATAAAGTTGATTTCCGTTTTCTGTTTAAGATAAGATTACATAAAGATTATGTAAATTACATTTTTAACATATTTTCCACGCTCTTAGGGTTCTTGGCAAGAACACATCTATAGTGCATATTTTTTTACTTCTCCTCGTTAGTTAAACATAGTTAAATAAGGAACAATATAACCTCAATAATTTTGTTTAGAATTGATTTACAATGAGTTCGATTTGATACATTAGTGTTTTGTTTTAATAGTTTTGAAATGACATCTATGTTCTTTCCATGTGATTTGTTTTCATAAACTTCATGTGTACATGTTGTAACCTTTGGTGAGTAATGGTCAGACATCGCACCTATCTCAAAAAAAATTCCTATTGATTCATTAGATTATTAAAAAATTATAAACCATTTCTTTTAATAAACGCGTTTGTAAAAATATATTTTATACGATTTTTATCATAATGTATACATAATTTATACATCCCTTAAAGGATTTATCGCATATAAAATGTTGCCTGAGTTTACCAAGTAAATATTTCTGTACTTGCTTCAAACAAACCAGCAATGAATTTTACGTTGTAGCGGTAACACAAAGTTAAATTTAAAAAAATACCAAAAATCAATATTTTCCCGGAAACTGTATTTTCTTAATAATGAACAATTAAAAATCGTAAAATTTCCAAGCTGTGGAATCAAAATGTGTAAAATATTTTTGTTTGTTTTATATTTAAAACATAAGATCATTAAAACGAAAACAGTCAACACTGAAGGTTTTATTTATTTTTAAATACATAACATTCGTGTTCAGAGGTGTGCGTTACCACGGTTACGTAACCGGAGGTAATTTTGAAACATGGCGATAAACACATGCTATCTTTCAGACTTCATAAGTTATTCATTTTGATGTAAATGTCGAATCGTGATATTCATCAGTGTTAATGTACCTTTTTATGAACAAATTTGTTTTTAAAAGGAAGCTAATTGTTTTTATTTAATTATTTATACCTGATTCGGTGTTCCAAAACGCATAATTCTTGAAGAAAATCGTACAAAATGTCACTAATCACAAGCACTAACTAGTGGAAAACTTGAGTCAAAGACCTCCCTCTGCCCGCATAAATCTCGGCCATTAGATTCACTTTCAAGACATTTTAAAAAGAAAACATTCACAATATTCGGAGAAGAGAAGAAGACACAATTTAAAATATGATAGGAGTCGGCTAAAGTTTTTTATAACGTGGAACACTTTTTCCTACACCCGCTTTCTCCGTGGTAGAAAATCGCCTGTCCACGACGGTGTGACGGTGTCATTTTCGCCTCGGGAGACACAAACCAGCATGCACTCTGTGAATTGACGTAACCGGCAAGAGTTGCGACCGTCCGACACGACTGCAATTCAGCAAGTGCTGCCAGCAACGGGACGTCGCCGATTGATGTTGCCACCCAAACCCATGGAAATATCCCTTTCGGCCGGGTCGTTTTCCACCCCGTGTTCAATATTGTCGGATTTTCCCGGGTGAAAACGTCAAAGAAACAAGGCTTTTGGAGGATCGAGTACGAAAACATTGTTCGTAACGGCTAAGACTATGGTAGTTACACCTCACACACACACACACACACACACACACACACACACACAAAACCAGCCTAGTGTGTAACAACCCGGCATCCATCCCACTAACACAGACGAATATGCATTTCATTTTTCAAAATTCTTATTTCAAAAAACATTACTGTGAAAACAATTCTCTTTTCTGGTCTAGACATAGATTATTTTTATTCAATACTTTTATCTTTTTATTTTATTTTTTTACATATTTTAATCTCTTAAAGCTTCTCTTACGTTTTGTTTTTTGATTTTAACTGGTTTTATGTAAAACAAAACGAAGGTGGAGAGAGAGAAAGAGAGAGAGAAATTGGAATGAACGATTTATTTATATTGATCATTCAAGATTTGGTCTCAAGGACTACAGTTTATCTTATGTTATTTATGCTTCAATTTTCAGTCTTCAATATCTTTAAGATTCTATAGATCTATATTCTCTATTTCACTTTTTTAAATCTTAAAAGAAGAGAAAACTTCTCAGCAAACTTTCTAATCTTTGCTTTTTCAATAAGTTTTCTGATAAGAAAAGGAGAGAGGGAAAATAGATCGATCATCAATAGATAGAGATAGAGAGAGAAATGAATGAAAATTTATTCTCCAGAATTGGTCCCAAATCCAATCGAATGTGATTTATATATTTTATAAATATTGATTTCTCAGTACTGATTGTCTTGAAAACCTCTACCTCTATAGAGAAAGAGAGAGAGGATTTTTATTTATGGGTTTGATTTTAACGATAGAAGTAACTTCTTTCAATAATTAATCTTTATGTAAGGTATTGGTTGTACTAAAAAAGCTAGTGTCACTAGCGGGATTCGAACCTACGACCTTCGGGACCGTTCGATTGGATCGAAGGCATAATCGCTCAAGTGGTAGAGCAGCGGCGTATTTAGCTGAAGGTCGTGGGTTAGAATCCCGCTCGTGACACTAGCTTTTTTATTTCAACCAATACCTTACATGCAGATTAATTAATTGAAATTGAATTTGGTCAATCGGACCACGAAATATAATGGATAGAAGTAACGTCAAAGAAAGATGAGAAAAAGCAAAAGAAAAAGAGGAGATACAGATAGATAGAGAAAGAGTGAGACCGAGAGGATTTAGGAGAGATAGATAAAGAAAGAGATTGAAAGAGAGAGTCTGAGAGAGAGAATGAAAGAACTTTTATTAGGTACAATAAGTTTTTGTTTTGATTTTAACGATAGAAAGTCAAAAAAAGATTAGGTAAAAGCAAAACAAAGAGAGAGAAGGTAAAAAATGTACAAATATCACGAAGAATGATGAATTCAAAAATTCTATCAACTAGTAATCATCGGGTCAACCAGAGACGAAAAGGAAGTGATTGACAGTGTTTTCTACTTTCGGTTTGTTCCAGATGTAATTGACCATTGACTTTGCAGCTTACATTTTCGTTTTGTTTTTTAACGAGGGTTTGCAACAGCAGAAGTCATATATACCCTCAAGGTGCCGGTGTTTTTGAAAAAAAAGCCCATTCGTAGGTTTATCGGGTTGCGGCCACCTGCAGCTTACTATTCAACAGCTAAGTAAATTTAACGAGTTATAAAAGGAAATTATCCCTTGTTGAACAACCAGTAAAAAGAACTGCAAAGAAACTGCCATTCTACATTGTTCATAAATACAGATTGAAAAAAAAATCTAATTAAACAATATGGAAAAAATAACTATACTAGCTATATTAGCTTATACTTCTAAAAGTAAACTGCATTCGTGTTTTATTTTGTTTTTCAATAGGATATTTGTTTTAAAAAAATGAATAAACGCAAAATCTAGAAAATTAAAATTCACAAACAGTTAGATGAAGAAAAATTTAATCTTTGTAATAAAAAATTTAAAATAACATTATTACAATATTTATGACAAAACGTTTTTATGGTAATGCTGTTTTCCAGCATCCTAATTAGCAGCATCTCTCATTACACAAACATGTAAAACTCTTTTTTTAACGAAGCACTATCTGATTATTGCAAATCCTTGTTTTAATCAGCGTGGCAAAAATCCCGATAAATTGGACATGCATTTCAACCAGTTTTGATTACCTATTGAACGTTAATCCCAATCAGATTAAAGAATGGTGTATTCATAATTTCTCCGCGTTACACATTACAAAATACCAAATAAAAAATATTATACCTAACAGGTTTTAGCCAACGCATGACAAACAATTTCTATTTTGCAAATTTTTTATAGTGATTAGATTATTATTACCTTTTTATATAAACGTAGCTGATTCTGCGAGATTTCTCTGTGCGTTAATGAACCTGTAAGTTGGTCGTCACCGGTCTGTCTATACTCGCTGTGTTGGTCTGTCGGCGTTTCGATATTTCACCATCTTCAGGTGGCCGCCCATCCCGCCGGACACGGATGCAACCCACGTCCATCTCAGGTTGTTCATACAATGTAGTAAGCGTTCGCATGCGATAACTGCACTCTACGTAATTACTTGCCATTCTTACATAACTTCTCCTGTTGCCACTGCGATCTCTGTCTCCCCGTGGCGCCATTATAGACCCAGTGAAGAACAGTAGCCAAGGCAGGAACAAGGCCTTGCCCGTTCAGATCGTAGTGTAGCCCGACATAACAGCTTGCGCTGTATACCTGGGAAAGGTAGAGGTCGTAAGGCCTGTGATCCGAAGAGCTCAGTGCCACACGGGAGGGTGATCTTTGTAATGGTTGTCAGTTCCCGGGCTGAATCTAATAATGTGAAGAAGGGTAATTCCTTAAGGGATTCACGGATGGTAGGTGGAGCACAACCTTGGCACAACTGGGTGAGCTTCTCCGCCCAGACATTTTGTGTATCAAAGACGGCCAATTTACTGCACCATTTTGGCTAGAAAGTTCCTCTCTTAGGTGAGGGAGCGTTATCAAGTGTTTCCTTCAGCATCCCTCCAATTCCCACATCCTCCCAAACGCTACTGCGAGTACCGGGCACCTCGGCTTACTGCAGATTGATGATGGTTGATACCCTCCGGTAAACAGCAGAAGACGTGGTGACGACCAGATACCTCGGCTTTGAATGTAGCACGCGTTAACAAACTTTAGTCGATAGTAGTACGGGGCTGAGCAGATAAGAGGTCTCCTTTCCGTTCCGTGTAGGACTCGTAATGCTCAGTGTTTCTGCTCTTAGGGTGCAGCCGCCTAGGACGAAGTGAAAAGGACGTCATGCATCTAAAACCTCCGCCGAATGTGGTCCCGACCACTCGGAGTGGGCAAGGGGGGAACGAGGTTGTCTTGGCCCCTCGGGGCTGAGCTGCCGCTACACCAATGCTGCGGCAGTAACATACTTCTGTCATTTGCGGAGGTGCGTCAGCTCTCATCTTGAGAATCAAAACATCTGATAGGGCCGAATAGGCTAGGTGCGGACGTTAAAGATCCTCAATGTCCTTTTTAGGACGACCGAGTATACGGGAAAGCAATGTCATTGCTCATGCCAACCATTAAGTTTGACCAATGACAGCACGTCCAAAACGTCACTTGCTCTTTAGAATGCAAGGCTCGTGGAGGCCCGCCTTCCAATTGATATTGGTGTTAAGGAGATCAGTACTCATTGGAGTACTCGAGGTAGAGCTGCTGCTATTGCTAGTGAAAGATATTGCTATATCTTCACGTAACTAGTAGGTCATTCGCAGAGTATATACACCGGGTGGTAAATAGAAGGCTGATATGACCCTGGGGTAAGGTGGCTTCTTAAAAATATCGCCCATATTTATGCGGTAATCACAGAGAAAGAATTACACCATCTTAATTGTTCAAGGAGTTCAGGCCTGGCAGTAGTTGTTTATGTTGTTGCTGACGTAATAAAAACCCAACTCTGAAGATGCCGAGGATAGGCAGGCGAAAATGTTCGGTAACGACCTAATTTCAGTTCATACTCTGAATATTATATTTTAAAATTGTCCTAATGCTAAACCAGCAACACCTTCCGGCCTTTCCGAACTGTAAGCACCTTTCACCTCAGCATGGCTTAGTTTATCCTGTGATAGAAAATCAACAACACAGCCTTCTTTTTTATTTCATGTGCATCTGGGGTCAAAGTCAGATATCCCTTTTTAAGGATGTCTCGTGAGAGGTCGGAACAACCTATTCAGGAAGGAGTTGGTTTAGTTCGTCAACTTACTATCACAGAATACTAATTTCATCTGACAGCCAACAAAAAGGGCTTAATTTGTATATTCAAATAAAACAAATTGTAATTTTAGCTTTTGTTTCATGTGTTAGTTTTATACTTTTAACTGTTAAACTGTATTTTTGGTTTTTTTAAGTCGGGTTTTTCAGTAAGCCCTGTGTTTTGTTGTTACTTTTAAATCGTTTTTTAATGTGAAGATGTAGAAAAATAATTGATTGTAAACAAAAAATTAAAACAATATAAGTCTGGGCGATGGCAGTGTGAGTGAGAGTACCGTTCAGAAATGGTTTAAAATATTTCAAGAGGGAGACTTTAGCAGTGAAGACAAATAAGGTCGTGGAAGGATTTCTTCCCTAGATGATGATGTTCTGCGAGCTTTGATCGAAGAAAACCCCAGGACATCTGTTCAAGGACTTGCAGAAAATCTTTTTGTTAGCGACCGCCGCTGGCCACTTTAAGAGAATTGGAAAGGTGAAAATCGAAAGTTGGATTCCTCGTGCATTAAACGTCCGCCAAAAAATCATCGTTATGAAGTTTGCGCAACACTTCTTTGTCGAAAGAGAAACGAACATTTTCTGATTTTTTTGTTTTGAAGAAAATTGGTTTCTCTACGATAAATGTTTCTGGACATTGGCTCGCCAAAGGAGAAGCAGCATATATTTTCTAAAGCATTTTTGAACTAATCAAAAAAAGGTGATGTTGACTCTTTGGCGGGTTAGATTTGGGCAAACTTACTACAGCTTCTTGAATCCTGGCAAAACCATCAATTGCGAAATGTATCGCTCTCAAATTGACGCAATGCTCCAAAAATTGGCATTATTGAAGCCATCTTTAGTCAATTGGAAGAGATCGATTCTGTTACACTTCACCATAATTTAGATGTGACAACACGAAAACTATTAGATCTTGGTTAAGAGGTTCTACCT